ATGGAGCTGCACTCTCACTCTGATGGAGCTGCACTCTCACTCTGATGGAGCTGCACTCTCACTCTAATGGAGCTGCACTCTGCACATAGAGGTGGGGCAGTCAGCGCTGGTCTTTGTGAGTTAGTTAAGAAAGAAGCAGAATATGTGAATACTTCTTAATTTACAAACATGCAAATGAGACGGGCACTCCCAGGACACTGTCTGCACTCAGCAGCCATCTGATCCTCTGACAGAGGAAATTAAGTCCAACTCGTCGCAGTATTTGAAGTGAAGCGTGTGCACATTGTTCTCATGTTTACCCTCAGGCCATCACTGAGACCGCCTTCACACGTGTGGTCCTCCCCATGCCCATCTTTGTGCTGCCCCCCATCATCATGTCATACCTTGAGAGGTGAGTACAGAAATACACAACATTTATGATCAATACTTTTTTTATTTTATCAAAACAGACCGTAATAATATCACGTCGACATCAACAATAATTGAACCCTAAAGCATCTCTGACCTCAGACAAACAGACCGAAACAACAGTCCAGCCTGTAAGTGCTGGGCTTAGATAGAGGAGGGGTCCCCAAGACAAACAGACTGGGGATGAAGGGGATACCCCGGCCTTTAATTCTCCCAACAGTGCGATATGTAACAGACCAAAACTCATGAAGCATGGGCGGACTCCACAGTACATCCTGGACCCCAGGGTTGCGCGGCCTAGCATAGCAGTCAAACATCGGGTTGTGCTCCCCCGTATAGAAACGCCTGACCCATCAGTGGAAGTTCATGACCTAAAGCCGGCGGTGACACCTCAATACGTCTCCTACGCCTTATTTATTTCTTTATTACGCATTCTTATTGTGAGATGTTTCCACGCCGATCAGTAACACAGAAACCAGCTGATGGCCTCACCACCACCTACGCCATGGCGTTTATCAGGCGTCCCTGCCTCGCCTACAGTCAGTCCGAAACGCCGCTGCTCGTCTTTTAACAGGTACATGAAGGCGAGAGTTCAGATCCCTGACCTTTGTCCACTGTTTGAAACTATTTGTATTGAAATCATCCCGTGGGTCAGACCCTTTAGGGTCTGTGTCAGACCCTTCAGGGTCCTGTACAGCTGCCTGGTCTCTGAGGTCTACATGAAGCTCTGGTTATCAGTGTTGCATCATGGGGGATAAAGTGTGTAATGAACCAGAGTCAACTTCTGTGTGTGTGTGCAGAGTGATAGACGCTCACAGCCGCTGAACAGGAAATAAAGAAATCTGCAGCCTGACTCACACACACACCTCCTCCTCTGACTCTGCACATGAGGATGTTTCTCCAACAGATCCAAAAATAACTCTTCGCTCGTCACCTGGGATCGCTGCGCCGAGCTCGCTCACGTTTCCTCGCCTCTCTCTCTCTCTTCCCTCGTGCAGGCTGCGCTTTCTGCAGTGCAACCGCAGACTGTTGCTGCCCATCCACAGCGTGGTGTGCCTGGTGACCTTCGGCCTCTCGCTGCCTGTGGCCATCAGCCTGTTCCCCCAGATGTCTCAGGTACAGTAGTTTCACGGCCAGATGGCTGAGGGACGCAGCTGCGTTGAAACTCACATTACATCCAGGCCAGTAGACGAGCACAGCCTGGAGCGCTTTCTCCCCGATGTTTTCTAAAGATCTCAAGTCAAAGGGCTCACATCTTACCTGCAGGTTTCTACCTTTCTTTCTTTGCAGATTGAGGTGTCTTGCCTGGAGCCGGAAATTGCCATGGCAACAGATTGCAAGGTCGTGACCTACAACAAGGGTTTATGATGGCTGTGGAGGATCTGTCAGGAGCAGCTGCAGTAAATCATCCTGACCTACCCGTATTAATGAACCTTTATATTCTAAAGATAATTCCAGCTTCCTGTCCGACTGTATAACCCCCCCCCCTCGGCCCATAGATATCATGATATATGTTCTGAAAGATTTCAACATTATAATTGTTATTATTATTATTATTATTATTATTATTATTATTATTACACTTTTTAATTCAAAATCAACATTTTTTAAATGTAAAGCTGCAATAAGTCACTTTTATTTTGAAGGGGATTAAAGGAAGCTCAATACAAACAGTCAAAACATGACAGAGAGCAGCGACATCATCAGCGTGTGTTTGGCGCCCTCTGCTGGACCTCTTCTTGTTCCTCGTGGTCAGGAGGAGCTGCAGGATGTTTCTCTGGAGCCGGTTGGTACTTCCTGTGGTTAGAAACCTGCAGGCAGACGCTCGCTGTGAGTTTTATGTAGTGGACGATATCGGGAACTCGCTCAGCACAATTAAAAACATTTCAGACGCTACTCGCTCACTCGCCGCTCGCTGACGGTGACGTCGCGCAACTAAAATGTGCGGCTTAACGACGGCAGAATATCGATGATAACGATAAATAACGGCATGAACTCCACCTCTCTCTCCTCTCCTGCCTCCTCTCTCCTCTTTCCTGCCTCCTCGCTCTCCTCTCTCCTCTCTCCTGCCTCCTCTCTCTCCTCACTCCTCTCTCCTCTTTCCTGTCTCCTCTCTCCTCTCTCCTCACTCCTCTCTCCTCTTTCGTGTCTCCTCTCTCCTCTTTCCTGTCTCCTCTCTCCTCTCTCCTCTCCTGCCTCCTCTCTCCTGTTTCCTGTTTCCTCTCTCCCCTCTCCTCTTTCCTGTCTCCTGTCTCCTCTTTCCTCTCCTGCCTCCTCTCTCTCCTCACTCCTCACTCCTCTCTCCTCTTTCCTGTCTCCTCTCTCCTCTCTCCTCTCTCCTCTCTCCTCTTTCCTGTCTCCTCTCTCCTCTCTCCTCTCCTGCCTCCTCTCTCCTGTTTCCTGTTTCCTCTCTCCTCTCTCCTCTTTCCTCTCTCCTCACTCCTCTCTCCTCTTTCCTGTCTCCTCTCCTCTTTCCTGTCTCCTCTCTCCTCTTTCCTGTCTCCTGTCTCTCTCTCCTCTCTCCTCTCTCCTCTTTCCTGTCTCCTCTCTCCTCTTTCCTTTCTCCTCGCTCCTCTTTCCTGTCTCCTCTCTCCTGTCTCCTCTCTCCTCCTCTCTCCTCTCTCTCCTCCTCTCTCCTCTCTTCTGCCTCCTCTCTCTCCTCACTCCTCTCTCCTCTTTCCTGTCTCCTCTCTCCTCTCTCCTCTTTCCTGTCTCCTCTCTCCTCTCTCCTCCTGAACCTCCTGAAAACTTCTTTCAGACTTTCACAGAATATTTTCTGATAACAAATATAAAATAATTTGAGATATAATGAAACGTTTCTTCCTGCTCACTGACTCTCGTCTTTCTTCCTCATCGGGAGAAACTACCGTCACTATCGTTGACGACCTTTGACCCTTCATTTAAACTGATTTCATTCAAAACGCTCCAAATATGAACTTTATCGAGTTTCTTCTCGCTGCTCGCTCCTCTCGTCCGTCTGAGAGTGGACGACTCAAACGCCACTTTCCACTCGTAAAAATCTTTTTAACCGCAATGCATTGTGGGATATATTGAGTGGACTGTAGAGGGTATGACCACGCTCTGTGACATCAGAGATGAAACGACCGCTGTAGTTCAGTTTAACCCGTTGATATTCAGCTGAACGAGCTCCGTCAGGCTCCAGGCGGGTATTTTATTTTATTTTATTTTATTGTGAAGGAGGGGGAAGAGGGCACAACTTCCTCCCTCATATTAAAGAGATATCAAAATAAAAGTCTGCTCGCTGCTCGGCTGATAGAGTCTGAACCTTTATTACTGATGTGGAGCCGCTCTGATACTCAACACGAGGTCATGAGGTCATGAGGTCACGAGGTCATGAGGTCACACTGAGCTGTTCTAACATGATGTGATTTTAACCTTTATAATGTGAAGTAATATAAAGTCATGATGTCGTTTGTTTATTAACTCTTGGTTAATAAAGTTTAGACTTTTTTAAATAATATGAAATGATTCTAAACTCGTGTTTGATGTTTGAGATGAATAAATAATAATAATCTGTTCAACACGTCTGACCTTCATTCAACAACAACCTTTAATCTTTAGAGACGGAGATCAACTCTCCTCTCTCCTCTCTCCTCTCTCCTCTCTCCTCTTTCCTCTTTCCTGTCTCCTTTCTCCTTACTCCTCTCTCCTCTCTCCTCTTTCCTCTTTCCTCTTTCCTGTCTCCTTTCTCCTTACTCCTCTCTCCTCTCTCCTAACTTCTCTTTCCTAACTTCTCTTTCCTCTCTCCTGCCTCCTCTTTCCTGTCTCCTCTCTCCTCCTCTCTCCTCTCTCCTCTTTCCTGTCTCCTCTTTCCTGTCTCCTCTCTCCTCTGTCCTCTCTCCTGTCTCCTTTCTCCTTACTCCTCTCTCCTCACTCCTCTCTCCTGCCTCCTCTTTCCTGTCTCCTCCCTCCTCCTCTCTCCTGCCTCCTTTCCTCTCTCCTCCTCTCTTTCCAGTCTCCTCTTTCCTGTCTCCTGTCTCTCCTGTCTCCTGTCTCCTCTTTCCTCTCTCCTGCCTCCTTTCCTCTCTCCTCCTCTCTTTCCAGTCTCCTCTTTCCTGTCTCCTGTCTCCTGTCTCCTGTCTCCTCTTTCCTCTCTCCTGCCTCCTTTCCTTTCTACTCCTCTCTCCTGTATCCTCTCTCTCTTCTCTCCTTTTTCCTCACACCTCTCTCCTCTTTCCTGCCTCCTCTCTCTCCCGCCTCCTCCCTTTCCTCTCTCCTTTTCCTACATCCTTAAAACTTAAATACACAGCACGTGGCGCCCCCTGCTGTTTGTAAACATGTTTAAACCTTCTTTTCTTCTGGAGTAACAGCTGATCTTCATCCTGAACTTTGACCCTTTAGCTGATCATTCATATATTTATTAGAAACAGAGGAGGGGTACTGACCATACAGGTTTTCATCTGCAGAGGTTTAGTTAAAGGTTTGGGAGAGCATGCAGTCCACACGCTGCCACCAGAGGGCGCTGTGACCCCCCAGGCCACGTCTCTGAACACTATCTGCACTGTGTGAAGCTAACCAGCAGGGGGCAGCAGTGCAACAACAAAGGATGCATACCGCCTCCTTTAACCTCCACAGAAGAAGAAAAAGACTAAGAAGAAGAAAAAGAAGAAGAAACATGGCTGCTCCCGTGGATGACATGTTCTCCTCCTGCGTGGACTCCGTGAAAGCTGCCGCCGCGGTGGAGGTGAGATTCATCGACAGTATGAAGGTAAGAGAGCCGAGGGTCACACAGAGAATCCGGATTCATGTGGATCTCAGGTTTAAATCAGCTGTTAGGGAGGACCATCAGAGCCGGACTGAGCACATGATGCTGCTGGACTCAGAGTCCCGAAGGAGCCGGACTCCAAAACATGTGGACCATCAGAGCTCTAAAGGTCCAGTCAGTGAGATGATGAAGGTATCTTACTCTCTGATCATCAGCTCCTGAATGATCTGGAGCCGTTTGGGCTTTTATTTTAATGAAGATGTTTTCAGTTCAGATTGTTGACTGACTGCAGATTAAAAGAATAAATTGATCTTTATTTGATTAACTTTTTATTACTGACTGACATTAAAGGAGCAGTATGTAACTCTGCCCCCTAGTGTTTAAAATGGGTACTGCAGTCTAAATTCTAAACATCATAGAGAGCTGTCCCTCCCCCCCTCACTCAGGTCACCATGTGGTGGACTCCCCCCCCCTCACTCAGGTCACCATGTGGTGGACCCCCCCCCCCTCACTCAGGTCACCATGTGGTGGACTCTGAAGCTTCAGTGTTTATCCAGCTCTGCATGGGTCTGTAAACCTTTCTGTGTTCTAACCTCTCTCCATTTTTCAAAAGCATCTCCAATATTGATCCTAGTTTGAGCACGTTTCTGCTCGTGGAGCTTATTAGAAACAGCTCGTCTGTTGACCTTTGACCCCTCCTCTTTGTTTCTCAGGTGTGTCAGCGGTTATGTGTTATTCATGTTTCAGGGTAAAGGTCTGTTTGCAAAGCGGAGCTTCAAGAAGGGCGACAGCATCTTCCTGGAGCGGCCTCTGATCGCCGCTCAGTTCCTCTGGAATTCTTTGTATAAATATAAAGGTGAGTGTGTCAGGAGGCGTGTCCTGATGAAGGTCGATCCCTCAGAGAACACGCCCCCTCGCCGTCATCATGCCCTCCTACGCCCCCCACAGAGAACTTACATAATCTACCATGTAGTCAAACCGGCACTGTGACCTTTATAACACACCCTCGCTATACTTCCTACCCGCCCACATGGCGCCCTCTGTGCTGAACCGGGTAGCCCGATGGCGGCGGAGGTCGGCTGGCGTGACCTGAAATGTGGTGACTAAAACGTGGTCTCTGTTCTGACTTCCTCCGCAGCCTGTGACTTCTGCTTACGAGCGCTGGAGACGGCAGAGGACAACGCCAGGAGACTCAGCGGCGTGCCAGGACTCCGCCTCCCTCACCCCGAGCTCTGCCGTGTTCGCCCGGAGCTTCACCAAGCCTGCCCTCAGTGCCAGGTCAGTCCCGCCCTCCTCGCCGTGTGAGACGGGAGGCGTGCTGATCGTTTAGGTTTCATGGTCAGTCTGTCCTGACGGCGGCGCCCTCAGTCTTGTTGCTCAGCGATGGAGAGCCGTGGTGCAGGTGTGTTAACGTGTGTGTGTGTGTGTGTGTGTGTGTGTGTGTGTGTGTGTGTGTGTGTGTGTGTGTGTGTGTGTGTGTGTGTGTGTGTGTGTGTGTGTGTGTGTGTGTGTGTGTGTGTGTGTGTGTGTGTGTGTGTGTGTGTGTGTGTGTGTGTGTGTGTGTAGGTCATGTACTGCAGCAGCGAGTGTCGTCAGGCTGCAGCCGACCAGTACCATGGCGTCCTGTGTTTGGGTCCGTCCCGCGATGACCCCGATCACCCCATCAACAAACTGGCAGACGCCTGGAGGTGAGACGCCACCTTACTTCCTGTTTTATTTTGATTGGACGGCGCCTCTTTCTAACCAGCTTCCTGTGTTCAGGAGCGTGCACTTCCCCCCCGAGACCTGCAGCATCATGCTGATGGCGAGGATGGTATCCGTGGTCAAACAGGCGAGTGTCTGAACACGCTCTTTACCGCCGTCCTTATCGATGTTCTGTTAACGATGTGGCGTGTTGCAGGCTAAAGACGGCGCCCGCTGGCAGACGCTCTTCTCTCATTTCTGCAGCCGAGCGGCCAACGAGGAAGACGAGATCGTCCACAAACTGCTCGGAGAAAAGTTCAGAGTGAGAGCTCGCACACACACACACACACAGAAAAGTTACACACACACACACACACACACACCACACAGACAAGTTACACACACACACACACACAGACAAGTTACACACACAACAAGTTACACACACACACACACACACAGACAAGTTACACACACACACACAGACAAGTTACACACACACACACACACACACAGACAAGTTACACACACACACACACACCACACACACACACACACACACACACACACACACACAGACAAGTTACACACACACACACACACACACACTCACACAGACAAGTTACACACACACACACACACACACACACAGACAAGTTACACACACACACACACACACACAGACAAGTTACACACACACACACACACACACACACAGACAAGTTACACACACACACAGACAAGTTACACGCACACACACACACACAGACAAGTTACACGCACACACACAGACAAGTTACACGCACACACACACACACACAGACAAGTTACACAACACACACACACACAAGTTACACACACACACACACACACACACACACAGACAAGTTACACACACACACACACACACAGACAAGTTACACACACACACACACACACACAGACAAGTTACACACACACACACACACACACACAGACAAGTTACACACACACACACACACACACACACACACACACCACACACACACACAGACAAGTTACACACACACACACAGACAAGTTACACACACACACACACACAGACAAGTTACACACACACACAGACAAGTTACACACACACAGACAAGTTACACACACACACACACAGACAAGTTACACACACACACACACACACACAGACAAGTTACACACACACACACACACACACACACACACACAGACAAGTTACACACACACACACACACACAGACAAGTTACACACACACACACACACACACACACAGACAAGTTACACACACACACAGACAAGTTACACACACACACACACACACACAGACAAGTTACACACACACACACACACAGACAAGTTACACACACACACACACACACACACAGACAAGTTACACACACACACACACACACACACAGACAAGTTACACACACACACAGACAAGTTACACACACACACACACACACACACACACACACACACACACAAGTTACACACACACACACACACACAGACAAGTTACACACACACACACACACACAGACAAGTTACACACACACACACACACACACACACACACAAGTTACACACCACACACACACACAGACAAGTTACACACACACACACACACACAGACAAGTTACACACACACACACACAGACAAGTTACACACACACACAGACAAGTTACACACACACACACACAGACAAGTTACACACACACACACACACAGACAAGTTACACACACACACAGACAAGTTACACACACACACAGACAAGTTACACACACACACAGACAAGTTACACACACACACAGACAAATTACACACACACACACAGACAAGTTACACACACACACACACACACACAGACAAGTTACACACACACAGACACAGACAAGTTACAAACACACACACACACACACACACACAGACAAGTTACACACACACACACACACAGACAAGTTACACATACACACACAGACAAGTTACACACACACAGACAAGTTACAAACACACACACACACACAGACAAGTTACAAGTTACACACACACAGACACAGACAAGTTACAAACACACACACACACACAGACAAGTTACACACACACACACACACACAGACAAGTTACACACACACACACACACACAGACAAGTCACACACACACACACACACACACACACAGACAAGTTACAGACACACACACACACACACAAGTTACACACACACACACACACAGACAAGTTACACACACACACACACACACACACACACACACACACACACACAGACAGAAAAGTTACACACACACACACACACAGACAAGTTACACACACACACACACACAACACACACACAGACAAGTTACAGACACACACACACACACAAGTTACACACACACACACACACACACACACACACAGACAAGTTACACACACACACACAGACAGTTACACACACACAGACACACACACACACACACACACAGACAAGTTACACACACACACACACACACACACACACACACACACACAGACAAGTTACACACACACACACACACACACACAGACAAGTTACACACACACACACACACACACACACACACACACACACACACACACACACACACACACACAGACAAGTTACACACACACACACAGACAAGTTACACACACACACACACACACACAGACAAGTTACACACACACACAGACAAGTTACACACACACAGACAAGTTACACACACACACACACAGACAAGTTACACACACACACACACACACACAGACAAGTTACACACACACACACACACACACACACACACAGACAAGTTACACACACACACACACACACAGACAAGTTACACACACACACACACACACACACACAGACAAGTTACACACACACACAGACAAGTTACACACACACACACACACACACACAGACAAGTTACACACACACACACACACAGACAAGTTACACACACACACACACACAGACAAGTTACACACACACACAGACAAGTTACACACACACACACACACACACACACACACACACAAGTTACACACACACACACACACACACAGACAAGTTACACACACACACACACACACAGACAAGTTACACACACACACAGACAAGTTACACACACACACAGACAAGTTACACACACACACACACAGACAAGTTACACACACACACACACACACAGACAAGTTACACACACACACACAGACAAGTTACACACACACACAGACAAGTTACACACACACACAGACAAGTTACACACACACACAGACAAATTACACACACACACAAGACAAGTTACACACACACACACACACACACAGACAAGTTACACACACACAGACACAGACAAGTTACACACACACACACACACACACACAGACAAGTTACACACACACACACACACACAGACAAGTTACACATACACACACACAGACAAGTTACACACACACAGACAAGTTACACACACACACACACACACACACACACAGACAAGTTACAAGTTACACACACACAGACACAGACAAGTTACAAACACACACACACACACACACACAGACAAGTTACACACACACACACACACACACAACAAGTTACACACACACACACACACACAGACAAGTCACACACACACACACACACACACACACACACACAGACAAGTTACACACACACACACACACAGACAAGTTACAGACACACACACACACACAAGTTACACACACACACACACACAGACAAGTTACACACACACACACACACACACACACACACACACACACACACACAAGTTACACACACACACACACACACAGACAAGTTACACACACACACACACACACACACACACACACAGACAAGTTACAGACACACACACACACACAAGTTACACACACACACACACAGACAAGTTACACACACACACACAGACAAGTTACACACACACACACAGACAAGTTACACACACACAGACACACACACACACACACACAGACAAGTTACACACACACACACACAGACACACACACACACACACACACACACACACAGACAAGCACACACACACACACACACACACACACACACACACACACACACACACAGACAGACAAGTTACAGACACACACACAGACAAGTTACAGACACACACACACACAAGTTACACACACACACACACACACACACACACACAGACAAGTTACACACACACACACAGACAAGTTACACACACACAGACACACACACACACACAGACAAGTTACACACACACAGACAGACAAGTTACACACACACACACACAGACAAGTTACACACACACACACGCACACACAGACAGACAAGTTACACACACACACACACAGACAAGTTACACACACACACACACACACAGACAAGTTACACACACACACACACACACAGACAAGTTACACACACACAGACAAGTTACACACACACACACAGAGAAGTTACACACACACACACACACACACAGACAAGTTACACACACACAGACACAGACAAGTTACAAACACACACACACACACACACACACACACAGACAAGTTACACACACACACAGACAAGTTACACACACACACACACAGACAAGTTACACACAACACACACACACACACACACAGACAAGTTACACACACAGACAAGTTACAGACACACACACACACAAGTTACACACACACACACACACACACACACACACACAGACAAGTTACACACACACACACAGACAAGTTACACACACACAGACACACACACACAGACAAGTTACACACACACACACACACACACACAGACAGACAAGTTACACACACACACACACACACACACACAGACAGACAAGTTACAGACACACACACACACACACACACACACACACACACAGACAAGTTACACACACACAGACACACACACACACACAGACAAGTTACACACACACAGACAGACAAGTTACACACACACACACACACACACACACACGCACACACACAGACAAGTTACACGCACACACACACACACACAGACAAGTTACACACACACACACACAGACAAGTTACACACACACACACACACACACTTACACACACACACACACACACAACAGACAAGTTACACACACACACAGACAAGTTACACACACACACACACACACAGACAAGTTACACACACACACACAGACAAGTTACACACACACACACACACACACTTACACACACACACACACACACACACACAGACAAGTTACACACACACACACACACACAGACAAGTTACACACACACACACACACACAGACAAGTTACACACACACACACACACACAGACAAGTTACACACACACACACACACACACACACACACAGACAAGTTACACACACACAGACAAGTTACACACACACACACAGACAAATTACACACACAGACAAATTACACACACACACACAGACAAGTTACACAGGCACGCGTGTGTGCGTGCATGTGTGTGTGTGTGTAACTTGTGTGTGTGTAACTTGTGTGTGTAACTTGTGTATGTGTAACTTGTGTGTGTGTGTGTGTGTGTGTGTGTAACTTGTCTGTCTGTGTGTGTGTGTGTGTGTAACTTGTGTGTGTGTGTGTGTGTGTGTGTGTGT